TGTTTTGTTTTTTTGCTGTTTGGGCTGGGCACCCGCCCCCGCCCAAACAGCAACAAAAAAAAAGCATCCGCCGCCCAAACAGCAAAAACAAACACACACACACACACACACCCACACACACACACACACACACACACACACACACCGCCCCAACAGCAACAAAAAACACACGCTCGGAAGGGGCGGGGGCGTGTTTATTTTTTTGCTGTTTGGGCAGGGCCCGCTCCCCCGCCCAAACAGCAAAACATAAAACACGCCACCGCCCAAACAGCAAAAAAAACAACAACCAAAAAGCCCAAACAACAAAACAAATAGACGACAAAAAAACAAACACTCTTACCCCGGGCAGCGTTATGCTAAGGACTTGCGGGTTGTGCATTAGCTTTTAATCGGATCCGTACATCGAGATCCGATGTGCTCGACTCGCAGAATTTCAGCAGGCGCCCATGGGAGTTGTTGTTTCTGGCGAGGGAAGACTTGTTCAGAAATGGGCATATGCAACTCTTTTGGTAAACGCGTCGGATGCGCAGTCGTTGAGGCAGGGATCCGAACGTTGCAAGTTACAAGAACAATAAGATGGTACCCCTAATTTTGGGAAACCCTAAATCCTGTATAACCCGTATATAACCCCTGTGTAACCCTTATATAATCCCATAATTCCTCTTTTAGACGTACTCCTGATCAGTGGCTTAAACAGGCCGACCAGACGCTCCGTGGCGCAACCGGCGATGAGAAGGAGGCAAGACACCATGTTACAATAGTAGCTTCCATTATCCGTATAATATAATAGGGTATATATATATATGTAACCCCCTATATACGCCCTATTATACCATAGTAGCTTCCATCATCTTTTCCATTATCCCTATATAACCCCAATGTACCATATATTGTCTTTTCCATTATCCAGTCAAGCTAGCACTGGAACCGCGAGTTTAGTTTTAATTTTTGCGAACGCAGAAGGGCCGACGTGAATAGCTGGTGCTGCCAGGTTCTTGATAAGGCCCTCCAGCTCTACAGCGATGCAGATGCCACATCCCAGCAGGAGCGCAATGCAGCCTGATGGTACTTAGGAAAAGATTTTGAGAGCCGTGCTGACGTGCACAGACACAGGTAGTGTGCCACAATACTGCGCAATGTTTTACGCCGACACGCATGGGGACTTGTCTGACCCGGTTCCAAGCAAACGCGCAAGCCCTAAATTACCGTATCAAAGCTACAGTTGTTTAGGGTTCTAAACGTTGCTGACATGAGGCTTCTGCCTCTTTCCTGGGTCCTATCTATAAACCCTTGAGTGGCCATAGTTCCCACCTTAGAATCTACGGCTCTCCAGGAGTGCGCTGTGGTTTATGCCAACCGCTGCCAGGCAGGATCTGTTTAGACTTCTTTTTGTAGTTATCATAGTAGTAGTGGAAGTAGTGCTAGTACTATCATCAATGCTGGTACCGGTAGGATAATACCTGCTGTTTGCAGTTTTCACAGCAATATAGTCCGGTTGGCTTAGCGTATAATGGAGAATCAAGTGCTCAGAACATGGAAATGGAATGGAAACTGTGTATTTGTAGCGGTTTAGATGGATAGCTATCAAGTTTGCAGTGCTGAATTCCGTGCATAATTCTGGTACAGGATACCTGTGTAGGGGAAGGCATTTTGGGCTGAATGGACCAGATTAGGATTCGCGCTCAAGCTGTGATGTTCGAACAAGCGCGAATTCAGTTTCTGGCATCAGGACTAGGGGAGCAGGCGCCGTGCACAGAGGGTGCCCCAACTCGTCATGCGGACCTGCGTTCGAATAATTACTTTCATCAGATGTGCTTCTGGCTAGCGCGTTCCGATAATGGCTGCCAACAAAGCGGATGAGATAATGCAGAGCAAGCCTGTTGTGCTCGCATGTAGACAGGAGGGTGCAACAGGTTGCGCAATGCTCAGAGAGACCGAGCTTCTGCAGAATGATGGTGAATCATGAGGTCACAACCAAGAAACTGAATAGCCAAGACAACAAGCAAAAAATCCGATTGTGCGCCAGTGGTGGTTCAGAAAAGCTTCGGTTTTGAAGCGCGAAGCTCCGAAGCCACTTGCTTCATTTTTAGGGGGCGAAGCGCGAAGCTCCGAAGCTACTAGCTTCACTTGCTTCAGGGCCCCGGGCGAAGCCACTTGCTTCATTTTTTGGGGGGGAAGCGCGAAGCTCCGAAGCTACTAGCTTCACTTGCTTCAGAGCCTCGGGCGAAGCCACTTGCTTCATTCTTTTAGGGGGCGAAGCGCGAAGCTCCGCAGCTACTAGCTTCACTTGCTTCAGA